AACTCCTTGTCTACTTCCAGGAGTCCACTAATCCCCTTCCCACTGCAAGTCCTGGATCCTATTGTGTGATTCCTGAGGAGTTGTTTCCTTTGCCAAGTTGGGGAACTTTGAAGGCTGCTTCCTACCCCAGAGTGCTGTTATTATTTGTGCCTACAGGAGAAGCCTGAAGGTACTGTTATTTCCATATAATACCTGAACTGATTTACATCTCAAGGGTCTATGACTCCCCCAAATGACAGACCGGACCCCCCCACCCCATGACAGATTGGCCGAAATCTTGTTAGAAATTGTTTGATTTACTATTCCAAGGTTGTTATTTGGTGCCCTCAAGTATGAATCACAGCAACCCTATAAACAATGATCTGAACCTTGTCCTTTCCGGTGCCATCTGCATATTTTCGGACACACTGCAGCTCATTGCTGTAGTCACTGTGTCAATTCATTTTGCAGAGGGTCTTCCTCTCTTTTATTGACACTTTACTTTTCCAAGCATGATGTCTCTCTTCAAGGAATGCCCTCCTAAAAATATGCCCAAAGTATGTGAGACAAGGTTTCACCATCCTTCCCTCTAAGGAGCACTCTGGCTGCACTTTCTCCAAGAGATAACTGTTTCTTCTTCTGACAGTCTATGGAATATTCAGTAGGTTTCTCAAATACCACATCTCCAAGTCTTTCTGTTTCCCATCTCTGCTTTCCTATCTTGGGAAAATCAAGCAGTGTATCACATAAAATTCAAAAGATAATTTGATGTAACCACATTATTACAAAGAAAAGGGTTAAAGTAGAGTCCAAAGAGAAATATAAAAAAACATTTGACTCGGAAACTTAATTTCTGGTCACTTGTTATTGAACCTTCCCAGTGAAATGGGCTTCGGGTTCAACAGCTGATCCTGCCTCTCAATTTTAATACTCACTATAATATGGGCATGCAGACATAAACAGTCTATATAAAGTTCATACATTGATACTCTGGATTCTTCTCCATTAAATTTCTTGGTCTTAAATTATCAAATAAAAGACTTACATTAAATGATGTAACTAAAAATATCAGAAACCATTTCCTTGAATGAGCATCAGATAAAACAGTTGGCCACACAGGACCAATTCTGGCGTCTAAACAGAGCCAGTTCTCATTTTGTCTTGCAAGCCACCAGGTACAGTGACACCTGTTATGGACTGGGCACCCAATCTAGTCTGTTCTTGGTGGGGCTACTTAGGTACCTGAACCAGTTTAAAATCCGTTACGGTACGAGCACCAGCTGGAACCTCATGGCTCTGTCTGTAAGAATAGCTGGAGAGCTCTTTGTAGACGAGAATGATGAGGCTGTGCCTCACATACCTTGGGCATATTGCTAGGAGGGGTTATTATTTGGAGAGGGACATGATGCTGGGAAGGCTGGAGGGTCAGTAAAGAAGAGGAAGACCCTCAGCCAGGTGGATTGACATGGTGACTGCCACAATGGGCTTTTGTGTGTCAGGAACTGTGAGGATGGCACACGATAAAACAGGGTTCAGATCTTTTGTTCATAGGGTCACTATGAATCATACTCAACACAATGGCACCTAACAACAAATTTTAAAAAGGGAATTCTAGAAAGCTTTGCACTGTCAACTCAAAATCCTCTGTGGAAAAAACATGGACAATCTCCTTCCATGCAACTTAATTTCCCAAGAAAGCCTTGGTAATTTACTTCTGAAAACTATCTAATGGAAATTCTGTGGATTACAACAGAATACTTTCTATTCTTTCATATTTTAAAAAAAAATAATGAAGATAGCACAGAATCGGGTAATGTATCATTCCATGGTGCATGACATGAGGTCATCATGAGTCAGAGCCAATGCAAAATTATGGAGCAACATTACAACTATTGATGACTATCAGTATAGTACATCACTCAAAAGTGTGCAAGGAAGACTTGAGTGACAGCTGAAACAGAAATTCTGTCAATGGTATCACGCTTTGTTCTGCAAGAACCAAGCATTCTTATCTAGATCTAGTCCTCTCTAACCCAGGAGGGCATGGACCAGGGGAGGCCACAGCGGATGTAATGGAGTGCCAGGTGGGAAACCTAGCACAAAATGAATCGAGCACCTTCCTATAGAGACAATCACTCATAGTAAAAGATAACATAAAATTCCATACTGAAGTAAGCACCAAAATGTTGTGGAATGAAATGAAATACAGTATTTTTTTAAAAAGGAAAAAACCTAAATTATCAAAGAAAGTTCCTTTTTGCAATACAATTTCACAGTACACTGCATCTCTGGCAAGTAACTCTTTTGTTTTTAAGTGTTCTTTAATGAAATTCTGAGAACTATTTCACTCTGACTGCATACTTCTTGGGACCCAGGGATCTAGGACTTCACGAAGTACCTAGCACAGTACCTGACACATAAAAAGCAACCCAAACATGCTTGGGCAATGAAATTGCCTGAAATAATATCAAAGTCATTATCAATAACAAATGTTTGTGGGTTTGGAGTTTTTTAATTATATTTAGATGGGAGGAAGGGAAGGTGAGCAGTTGTATGAGGAAGTGGAGTAGAAGCAATGCAATTTACCAAAACAACTAACACTACCATGGTAACAATCAGATAAAAGAACTCAAGTTGAGTTTTTTTCCACTTGAACAAGTACAGGAAGGTAAATATTGTACTTGATAATCTCACATCAGCAGGGGTGGAGTTTAGGATTCAAGTCTACCAGGTGACACTGGGACACACTCAACTTAATAACTTTTGAAGTGCTTGAAAACCTGTAACGACAATCATTCCTTAACATTAAGTCCTGGTTTAAACGTGGACCCTAAAAAGTTTATTTCAGTCATTTAAAAGTGTCAAATAATTGCTATTGAGACTTTACAGCTATAAAAAATAGGTATCAGTGTACACAATCAGGCATGTCTTGGAGATCGTGTGGGATACAGAACCTCAATAAAGTGAGCCATGCTATTTCTTTTTATTTTTTTTATAAAGTTGCATTGCTTACCCAATGGGGATGCCTCTCTGGTGGTTCAACTCTACCAGCTGCTCAAATCTACCACCAAGTCCTTGGGAGAAAGGTGGGCAATCTCCTCTTTTGCCCAATCTCCTCCAGCCTCTCTGAAAATCCATTGAGGGTCAGATGTGCGTGGCTTCCATTCCAAAACAATGAGTGAAATGTGCATGAAAGTTACACACTACAGTTTTTTGTTGGTTTGCAGTCGGTTTGCTGTCTGTGTGCACTGTTGCTCTTGCTATATGCCAACAAGTCTTAACAGACTCATAGCTGACCCTTCCACGTGCTTTCAGAGGCAGTAAATCACACAACAGGAGATAGCCTGAGGTTTTGTCCAGTAGAGGAGCTGGTAGATTTGAACTAGGCACCTTCAGGCAAAGCTCCTTACCAGCAGACCAGAGCATTATGAAAAGGTTGAAATACTGCAAGAATTATCAAAATTATCAAAATTAACACATTGTGTTAGAAAAACAGACACCTGCAGACAGAGTTGCCACAAACCTTAAATTTGTAAAAAGAAAAACAAAAACCCAACCACTAAAAGCACACTCCAAAAAACCCACCCCAAAATGCAGTATCTGCATAGCACAATCGTATCGCATATGCGTGTGTACAAACTCCAACACGATGCGATGCACCTGTGCTCCTTTCTAAAAGTGACCCATTTCACAGCAGCTGAACCCAAACCAAGATAGAGATGAAAAGATGACACAAAAGAGAGCATGTTTTTTAGCAATGTTTAAGTATTTCTACTTCCCTGGTGAAGGCACTACATTTTAAATATTGTAAATAGTACTAACAATCGTTCTCACGCCCACTTTCTCCACATAACCCCTTTTATACACCATGAGTCACCTCCAGGCCCAAAGTTCCCTCTTCCTTTCCAAACTAGAATGGCAAGTTGGGTGGGGATGCAAGTGAGCTCTTAGGTCTGCACAGGGAACAGGTGAGCCAGGCCAATGACGTCTTCCACAATTACTTCCTTTTTGAATCTTGGGTTTCAAAATATATGACTTCTCAAGTAAAATAATGTATGTCAGATCTTATTAGTAATTGTTACCAGAATTTGATATCATTCCAGCCCCAATCCAAACAGAAAGCAGGACAGCATTATCCAGCATTAAAGCATCTGTACTACCGAAAAAGAACTGCAAATAGTAGCTAGAAACACACAGTGACATCAAGGCCCAGATGCAAAGGAATCGCAAAGGGTAAAACTGGAGTATCTGTCTCCATGTCCTGTGCTAATCTCTTGTAGACGTCTTTTCATACTGCTGTATTAATAACTTGGTATTGGTTATTTCTAAGCCTTAGGGGCATATAACATATTATCTAACCTGTCATTTTATTTTGTTGTAGAAAAACATAAAATTCTGTAGTTCACAAAATACTCATTTCTTTATTAACTGGGATAGTCATAGCTTTAGGTTTAAGTTCTGCAATCTAACTTCGCAAAGCTTAGAGCTTTAGTTAAAGCTTTAACTTTGGGATTCGTCCTGAGAATTAAAGTTGTAAATATGTGTGCCTAGCAGTATTAATGACCAGTAATATTTGCTTTGAAAACACCAAATACAAAAACTACCACAAAGGATGCCAAACTAACAAACAGCCTGGCACAAGTTGGGATTTGGAAAGGTGATGTGACCACATCAGTTATTAAGATCTGAGAGCACGTCTGCCCACCTCGCAGGCAGAATAGGATCTTCTCACATTGTGAACGAACTACCACGAATTTCCCTCCAACCAGATTAAATAAAAAAAGATGCCTCTGTAGGGCCCGCAGTGCAGTTGTTGAAATTTCTTCCCAAACCCAGACTCTAAAACCAATCTTTTCCACTTAACTCTTAAAAAATTTAAGGCGAATGGGTCAACGCTGAAAAACAAATTCGCAAAAAGGAACACATGACTGATAAAGGTAGGGCAAGAAATGTTACCAAAACCCTTCACTCGCCCGGCAAAAAAGAGGGCCACAAGCGCGCGCGCGCACACACACACACACCTGGGGATGAACTTGGCTTCCTCCCCGAGTCGCGCCTGGAAGTCCTGCCAAGCCCGTCCGGAGCTGGCCACCCCCCACAAGGCGGCCAGAGGCAGCTCTGCGTCCACGCTGTCTGCATCCTCCTCGGGGTCCGCGCCGTCCTCGCTGCCCCCCAGGCCGGGCGCCCGCCGCCCCTCGCCCCTCCGTCCCCCGCGCCGGGCTCCGCGGAAGCCGCGCGCGAACTCCTGGAAAGTGATGGCGCCGTCGCGATCTGCGTCCAGCCGCTGGAACACTGCCTCGGCCTCCGCCGGCCGCACGCGCAGCTCCGCGCACAGCGCGCTGAACTCCTCGCGCTCCAAGCGGCCCGAGCGGTTCGCGTCGCAAGCAGCGAAGACGGCGCGAAGCCGGGCCAGCTCCTCCTGGTCCCCAGTAGTTTCCATAGCGCCCCAAGCCAGTGCGCTCCGGAGCGCGCGCAGTGCAGGCCCCAGTGGACAGTGACAACGGGAAGTCTGGGGCACCTGTTGCCTCCAAGATCAGCGGTCAGTAGAGCTAGTCTAGCTGGTTCCGCCACTTACGAAGAAGTTTGGGCGGAGCTGAAGAGTCTGGGCGGGCCTGAGGCGGAAGGGCGGATGGACAGGCAGAAGGTGCGCTCCGGTGTTCTTTCCGCTTCTTGGTCTCTGCAGGCACAGCAGCGTGGCAAAAGCGCTGCTTACGCCTGCGCTGGACCGCACACCTGGGCATTCGCCCTTGTTCAGCCGGGCCTGGCTCTGCCTGACGGAGGAGGGCTTCTGGGTTCTGCTCTCTCTCTTGGGCTCCAGCCAGAAAATAAATTTGAGGCTTATGAATTTGGGGGCCAGGCCAGAACTGGGTTGCAGAAGTAGCATTGTCAGGCCCTACAGTGTCTACCATAGGTTGGACAGGTGTGCCCAGCGCTCTGCAGGCGTGCTGCTGGCATGTGCGTGGGAATTTTACTGGAGAGGAATGAAGGATAAGGATGAGATGAAGAATTGAAAAGAATGTTTTGTGTATGATACTGCTTCTAATCCTGGAAAACTGGTAAACTGGTATAATATATATACAAATGCTCTTCCAAACTACAAAATTTCCTACAACGCTCCTCTCTCTAAGTTTGATGAATAACTCATTGGCTCACAATAACTTCTAATTAGTTAATCATATTAGAAGTCCCTTAGCTCTTCCAGATTCCCCAGTGCAAACTTTTGGGGGACAAAACAGTCCTTACCTTCTCAATCTGAGAGAAAATGGAAAACTAAAATAGCTCAGGAGGCAGGGTTCTTGAAACAAAGGAGAGGGTAACTTTTTAGTTTAAATAAACTTTAAGGAAATTCTACATCCAACTGAGGTTCCTTTGAGATTTAAAAAATGTATGTAGAAAATGCTTTACTTCTTTAGCATTGACTGCTTAATGAGAACGTGGTTTTTAAATCTATCCTTTTTTTTTTTTCTCTTGTCTTCCCACTACCTGAAGACTTATGTTTATCCTCCCATAGGTTATTCTCATAGGCTATGAAAATGTCTTTTTGGCTATTGTCCACCTCCTATAATTTTTATAGTGTGGAGAAAGGATACAACCCTGACTCACAGCATGCAGGATTCTGTTCTTCTGTTGGGACAACTACTTCTTGGTCTATGTAAAGCTATCTCAAGAGCACAATTAAGTATTCATGGATTCTAGATCTTTTCAGTGTTTGCCATAATTTGTTGTGTTCCACAAAGTCAAATGCCTTTGCATAATCATTGAAGCACAAGTAAAGACTGTATCCTTTCTACTTACTTAGTCACTACTCAACAGCTGGTGGATTTGAACAGTTTACCTTTGGGTTGGTAGAGCACCTCCTTCCTATGAAGCCACCATAGACAGTTTTCATTTATTCTTTGAAATATTATCACTGGCCAACTGACTGGAAGAGATCTATGTTTGTTCCCATTCCAAAGAAAGGTGATCCAACTGAGTGTGGAAACTACAGAACAGTATCATTGATTTCACAGGCAAGCAAGATTCTGCTGAAGATCATCCAAAAACTATTAGAACAGCACATCAGCAGAGAACTGCCGAAAGTCCAGGCTGGGTTTAGA